GTCACATATTGCAATAAAAAAATAAACTCCATTAACACTTTTTTCGTTTGACCCACATGTAGCTGTCGAACATGTATACTGCCTCTTAACTCTATAATTTTTTCTTTATGTGCATGATAGAGTGACACCATTCAGAGTATGTATTATTATTTACTTAATTTTAACGCTTTCACAATAGCAATTATCATACAAAAAATGCATGTATAAATTTATAAACACAATGAAAAACAAAAAGATGCAAATTATTTATTTGCCAATTATAATAGATTATATATAATCTACAAATATATTATTATGTTACTAGCTGACCCGGCGAACTTCGTATCGCCTAAGTTATAGGTTTCCCCTAAGACAGACCGATGGAAAGAAAGTACCGTTACGTTTAATTTTCAAGATGATCTCGTTCGCATCGCTCAATCACGTCTTGGTTGAAGTTCGTTCGCTACGCTCACTCACCTTTGGGTTGGAGCTCGTTCGCTACGCTCACTCACCTTTTGGTTGCAAATTAGCTGTTGTCATAAATGTAAAAGAAATAATAGTGCTGCACCCTGTTGGTAATCCTTGTAACTTTAATGGTATTGAACATCATAGAACAGAACCAACTTGTTTAATTGAAACAGCTGTTAAGATTCATTAATTCCATTTCTCATAAGGTTAACATGGGAAACTCCAGAGCCACTGGGGCGGAGCCATTTTAAGAATTTCGAAACGGGAAATAGTTTACGTCCGATTCGCATACCTACAGAATTTACACACCAAATTTCATAACGATCGGTGAAGTCGTTCCGGAGGAGTTTGCAGACAAACACTGTGACACGAGAATTTTATATATTAGATATATATAAATGTGGTATATTATATGAGTATATTATATAAATATAATATATAAATATAATATATAATAATATATATATAATATATAAATAATATATAAATACCATAGTTATCGCGCTAACGGACACATCTATATATATAATTCTGTAAGACAACATTTTTACCAGAAAATTGCGGACGTCTGGTAAGTCGCAGAAAAGTGGGAGGGGTCTTAAATTAAAGGTCTTGACCCCAGGGACTCGGGAAAAATAGCAGAATTCCCATAAAGTTACCAGAAAACGAGATATAACGTAAAATGTTCTCCATAAGAATAGCATTAAAAGCCATTTATTGCAGGTTTTTGTTTACTTCAATACAGCTGATCGTAATTTATCATCAAGTCAGTACGCAATGTTAACATTTGGATTGCTTATTTGCCAGTCAATTCTGCAATGTACTATATAAAACCAGAGATAGCGTTACCTATAATAATTAAGACTTCTTAGTTACGTTATAGAATGTGGAAATAAATTATTTAACTGTGCTACTTTTCAAATTTGTGTATTTTTAACGTTTAACACGAAATAACCACATTGACTAAATAATGGGTCTGACTTAGGGGAGGTACGAATGAGGCATTTAGTTCAAAATTCCTCCGTGAACAGCGCTATAGTAGAGAGCACTTTGGCAATAAAGGGTTACTAATCGCAAAAATAGTTCTGTTCATAAAATAAAATTATAAATGTCTCAAATTCAATTTTATTATTTTTTAATTATAAAATTAAACTATCATAACCTAACCGAACTAACCAAACTTGCTGATAAAGAAATAATATAACAAAAGTTTAGTAATCGGAAAAATAATTCTGTTTATTAAATAAAACTAGAATTTGCTCAATTAAAATTTTATAATGGCTTAATAATAAAAATTAAACTGTAATAACCGAACCAAACCAACCAAACTTGCTGATAATAAAAAAATCTTGGACAAAAAGTTAATGCTACCAGCAGGATTCGAACCCGGTACCTACAGTATATCCGCTCGGCACGCTAACCATTAGACCACCGAGGCCGATGGCTATCGACCGTTTTGTTACGGTAATGGCGTTCCCTCAGCTAATAAGAAGCCCACAGCTGTCATCGTAGCCTCTTCTATACCTCCCCTGAGTAAATACCCTAAATAATTACCGATTGAAGATTAAATAGAAAACTTCTGCTTTGTTTTCATTTCAAAACATATGTTTTAGATTTATTCTACACTTTATTTATTTTAAATTTGATATTTATTTTAGTGTTTAATCAATATTTTGTATGAAGTGGAATAACCTCAACGGCTACTCTTAGAAAATAATCTGGGAATAAAGATGGAATAGGTTTGTACAGGAAATATTTATTTGTCAATTAAGTAAGTACTACAAAGTTCCAATGGAAGGAAAAACTATTTTTTTTTTAGATTTTCAGGTCCTCTCTGTTGCTCGCAAAAGAGTTAAGAATCAGCCGATGATTAGGCCTAATTTGGTAGAATATGTAACGTCAATCTCACATGTAAGAGGAATACCACTACATACACTTACACTAATTGTTGTTTTTTATGTTGATCAGAAAATCTAGGGTTAAGTTTGGTCAATGAAATGCCTTTACTTTTCACTTCTGTAATACAGTAGTATAAACTTAGAAATATATACTGGGTAGGGATGCTAATTTAGCGGGTTTGGCCAAGGAAAAAGCTTACCTCAACTCAAGCTCAACTCAAGCTTACCTCAAGCTTTATTTGCTTTTTCATATTTTTGACAAAGACAATTTCCAAAATTCAAATAAGGGAAGTCTTTTTTTTATCACCCACAAGACTTAAGCTACCCTAATAAACCAGTATTTATTCACAACCAATTATATGTTTGCTGCCTTTAGCAGGGTTAAGGGTGTAGGGATTCGGATGGTCCCTACATGATGATTTATTGAAAATAACATCAACAGAAACTAACAAAGACAAACAACAAACTGTTTTTTACACAAAAGATATGGCTAATAGGGATATATATTCTGACACATAGATAATATATTTCTTAGTTTGTTTAAATATTAGATGATTTTTGTTTTATATTATTGAGCTTTTTAGGGACTTATGTCCCTACAAGCCACTAGTCTATATATATAATTCTGTAAGACAAAATTTTTACCAGAAAATTGTGGACGTCTGGTAAGTCGCAGAAAAGTGGGAGGGGTCTTAAATTAAAGGTCTTGATCCCAGGGGCTCGGGAAAAATAGCAGAATTCCCATAAAGTTACCAGAAAACGAGATATAACGTAAAATATCCACCATAAGAAATGCATGGGGACTGAAAAACGTCTGCATTCTATCAGCTGTTACTTATTAATTTGCAATGTTTACATTTATTCCGAAAGTCAATGTTGGTAAATAATGTTTCAAAATGAATTGTGTTTAATTTTTTGTTTTCCGTTTTTTTATTGAGTGAAGTAACTAGACATGGTAGGGGAAGACCTGCAAGACGTGGAAGAGTGTCCAGGATTTCAATAGACTTAAGAAATGCAAAAGAGAACGTCATGTAGGGGCTAACTGTGAAAGAAATTCAGAAGCTGTTATACAACCTGTCTTTAGAAGAACGCTGGAAAATGAGTTGAGTGTTGTTTCTCACAATCTAGGTCCTCTTAAAGCACTTGCATGCATTGTGGCACATTTCACTTCGCAGAGGAGGCCACAAATGGACATTCCAACGCATGTTGCCACAATGGACATGCCACAACCACAAGTCAATGACAAACTAAAAGAACTGCTTTTACATGATTCGAACTTCATAAAAACACAAGGCAATACAACAGTGCAATGGCTATATGCAATGGATATATGGTTTTTTTTATTGTAGTCTAAATTAGGGGCTGTGGCCCCTACAGGCCACTAGTATATATTATATAAGTGTCCGTTAGCGCGATAACTCGAGCAAAAATGATCCGATTTTGATGAAATTTGGTACAAACGTGTAAACCTACGTTTATTCTAACGAGTTCGCGAACCAGCATGATCGGACCATGGGAACGGGGGTTTATGGGGGCCTTTATGGGGTAAAAATGGGTTTTTCCCATTTTTGACCCAAAAAACATAAAATTTTGCAATTTCTTTCTAAACTATTTTTTAGAGCTTAAAAAACAAATTATTTAGTATACTGAAGCGTTATAATGTGCCTAATGGTTACGGAGAAAATTCCAAAAAATTGTAAATTTAAAATTCCCATGTTATTCTTATGGAGAATAAGTAAACTGTTGTAGTTTGCTTGTTTATAAACATATTTTGCCCAAATTTGGAAAATGTTTTTATTTCTTACTAACAATTAACATTTTACATAAAAAACACTTTTACCCTCCCTGTTGCAGCAAACCTAAGTATGTGTAAAACTGATTCTATTTAAATAGGGAATAAATGTGATATTTTTAAGGAGACATTTTAGTGTAAATCCATTCAGGGAAATGGAAATTCGCTTAGTCTGCAGGTTTGCTTCGGCGGAGGTATTTAGTTCTAATCACTGTTTAGGGTTACTTAAAAAAAACACCATGGTACCCTGTTTAAAATAATTTTAAACATAAAATGATTTTAAACAGGGTTAGGCCTACTATGGTATTTATTATTTCACTTGTATATATATGTATGTAAAAAAGGCCCTCTCATCTAAGCCGCCCCAGGCCCCCAACTATGACAGTACGCCACTGGGAACATAAGTTTACAGTTTACAGCCAATGCCAACTAAGGGACAGTTTATAGTGGAATCCAAACCACATTTTTGCCTTGTAATTAAAGAATTGGTCTAATTATCAGGATAGCACTGTGGATAGTCGTAGTACTCACTAGTGTGGACGTTAATCCACATTTTAGCTTCAAGATCTGAGGCTAGAACTGAGCATGTGGATGGTCTCGGCTTGTCACATCAGGTTTGCGCACTTATTTGCACAAACAAACGTGTGGACTGAGCTTTATGTGCATGCAACATTGGCTGAAATCCTCTGACCAATCTAGGAAAGGCTTTATAATACACTTAAGTCATTGGGTATAAAATAAATATAAACAATGTTAACAGTGTTCTTGGCTTCTGGGATCGCCTATCAACTTATGTATAAAGTATGGGTTCTGAAGAATATCTGTCCAGGAGAGTATATGATTTGAAAAAAGTCATAGGGTACCTGGTTTTCATAAGATTCTTCTTTTATCCGAATGGGAATGTCTAAGCCGTGAACATGGACATATATCTGTCTGTCACTTCCAACAGCCCAAAGGAAATTAGGGACTGCAGAAACCTGTTTGAAATCCAATCCTAAGTACTGAAATTCTCTCCACTTTGTTCCATTAGTTGATAATCCAAATATTTTCCCATCATTGTTGACAGCAAAGAGCATAGAACTTGGCATTCTGTAAAGTAAATTGTAACTAAATTAAAAAAATTGACATGAAACAATAAATAAAATTTATCACTCCATGGGCTTAACAATTTATTACACTTGTGTGTCATTAAATATGCTGTGACAAAATCCACAGAATGAATGATTCTGTGATTCCAAAGTTCCTGTACTTCTAAAAATAGATTACAATGAAGTTTTACCTTTTAAGTCAATATTAGAATATACTAGCAGAAATCAGATATTTTATGGAAGATGTATCAATACTGTAGTATTTTATTCTAATTTCATATCATAGTCACAATGGCTACAGTTGATCGTTTTGAACCCTTGCTCGAGCATAAATGTTGGAGTTAAGGTAAAGAGTTAAGGTACCGTAGGTTCTCTAAACTATGACTGTGAAAACTGACGACATGCATAAAAAAAAAAAATAATAGACAATTTTCATCTACAGTATATTATGGCATGACAATATGAAATATAGGCCTAGCTTATTATTTCCTTCATTGCTAAAATAGGCCTTGAAGAATTTGTAAAGGAAATAAATGCTGCAACAGGCTTCTACTGAGCCTTGAATTCCATAAGCTGGAAACATTAATTTAGTACCATAATATCATCACAATGGCTGACTAAAGAGCTACAATTGTTCTGTCATAAGCATTTTGACTTTGAAGACGTTGATCAGAACAACTTCAATTCAAGACAGTTTTGGAAGAATGATAGCCTTAAAGTTATGCTACTGCTATCACTGGAGAAGCTAATCATCTTTTAACAAGTATGTAGCCTACTGAAATTAGACAGTGGATTGTGGCCAAAGTTTGTTGAAAATATGGAGTTTTAAGTTTTAGTTTGTCCATCTTTCATTACCGGTACAAGTTTACGATTAACATCTTTCAATTATTAACAAAATAAGCTTAACAATAGTATATTTCATCACTAAGGCGTTAAGTGGCTCTTTTTGACCTGAGCTCAAGTTTTACAATTGAGGCAAAGCTGAGGTCAGAAAATGAGCGAGGTTGAAAAAACACTCTTTGCCCGTGTAATGAACTATATTTTTTGTCAAATTGCAGCATTATTTAACAAACTAAGCTTAACTTTTAATTTAGTCTAAATTAAGCAGTTCCGGGCTACAAAATGGAATCTAACAAACTAAGCTAGAAAACAAAAATTATGTTCATGTAAAAAAACTCAGCCAACCAATATACACAAGACTCAGGGAGGAGCAGCTTTGAAACAAATGGCATGGGTTCACTACACACCTTAATTATCATGCAGCCAAGTAAAGAGATAGGGGCCCAGCCAGGGCTAGAGATATACAAGGGCTGGCTCACTCCTTTGATGTTAGCAGTCGCCGCCTGATCCTACTTAACCTCCCCCGCCCCTCCTCAGTGACGTAGCGCGATGCGCGACGGTAGCCTAGCACGGCAGTGCGTATGTCGCCCGGCATCTACGCGCATATTAATAATTGTGTTTATAATAATGTAGTTTTATAGTGTGATTTTTAAAGCGGGTTTCGTTAACCCTCCAACTTGCAATGGGCGAACTCTGTAGTGGCAAGGCATTTTTGGCGATTTTGCAGTCATATTTTCAAAAATTCATATAAACTAAACCAACAGATCAAAAAATGTAATTGATTAATTGAAATTATTTTCCTTCCTGTAAAAGTTACAAAATACTAAGTAGGCTATAACTTAGGTAATGTATTTTTATACAACCTCAATGTATTTTATATAACCTCAATGAATCCTAAAAGGTATGAATAAGTAATAAATAAATACAATTAACAATCCATACATTAAGATACATTCGAGCAATACGAACACAGATATTACACAGTAACTTTAATGCATTGGATCAATAACTGAGTGAAAATTTAAAAACGTACGTTTTCAGGAAAAGCACTTTGCAAAATTTTTTCCCCTTTTTTCAAAACTTTTATTAGTTTTTTTATTTCATTAACATTTGAAGTTTCATAAAATGTCCATGGTAACGCAATATCTTTGGTAGTTTTTTTTAAAAAAGAGCATCTTTAGTGGAAAAACACAAAATCCTGTCACGACCATAACGGACGTTTAAATGAATATTAAAAATAGTTAATATTATTTTTATAACTATGTTTTGCTATAAACTAATTTACTTTTATGACCATTATACAATAAAAAGGTCACTGAGCTTTTGGTATATTTGGTCTTTCTAGAAAAAAATTAAAAAACTCAAAAAAATTTAAAAAAAGCCAATAAAATCTTTTTAAGTTTGTATAACTCCGAATTATGTTTGTATATAGGTGTGCTTCTTTTGTGTATAAAACATTGAAATATGACAATATTTTAATTTTTGAAATTTTTATGATAGAAATCATAAACGTGATGGTCAGGGACAAGGGATGGTTGTGAATTGTCTGAAATAATCTAAATCTTTCTAAACAATCCTTCAATTATACTGTTAGTTATAATAAAAATATGTGTTTCAATTGAACTAAACTGTTCAATTTACAATTATATTAAAGTTATTGTCACGACCAAACACACTATAATCCATAAGGCTGGATTGGTCGTGAAAAAACCCGCGATGGTCGTGAAACTTTGGTCGTGAAATTATGTGTTATTTGGCTCTGTTCTGGCGGTAGCCCTGCACCTCATGTTCGAGGATACAAAGTGGACTTCTAGGTTAATCTAGCAATTTAAATATCTTATAAACAAAAATTAATACCATGTCTACTTCATCGAATGACTACGTACGGTCATGGACACACCAAAATTACAAAAAACACAATCTTTCCTTTATTAATCTTGTAATTCCTCCTTTCAACTCGAAACGACCGGCACTACAATCCTGACGTACACCCCGAACTAGCCTCTAAAACCAACTGACTCCACCGACGCCAGGCTTGCCACTGTCGTGCTCCAAAGTTGAAAATTTTTCCCAAATGGTCGTGACGCCAAATCAAGGGACAGACTTATTTTGTCATGGTAGTCAGTTTGCAATGACAATAAAATTATAATATGCTCCTTTTTTGTAAGTTTAATAACCATTGATTACATAAAAATATGGCTTTATATATTTCGGCATGAATAATTAGTCTAAAAACAGCGGGAAAGTTGGAAAATGTACCCTAGGGACACGTCATGGTCGTGAATTTCGAGACTTTAAAAATACGAAAAAAATACCTAGAACCTATTTAAAACTAAATAAATGTGTGTAACATGTTGCCCCCATCCCAAAAAATATAAAAACACATAATAATAAACTACAAATCCAGTATCTACGAAGTAAAAGGCCAGGGACATGAAAACGTACGTTTTTTAATTTTCACTCAACTACAGTAATCTTAGCCATCGCTTTACATTCCACTCCCATCCTTAAATATCTACTAAAGTTAATTTTTTACTTAAAATTGATGTTATACGTAATCCTATTGGAAAATCAATTACTTTTATTAAATACATTAATACCTAATAAAAAATGTCCAACATAGAGCTTAATAAACGCTTAATGTGCGGTAATACCAGCGCTCACACAGGCAAAGATATACGGTGCCGGGAGACCGAGGTATCGCCGTGACGTCACAGCGGCGGAGTGGTGGGGAGCCACCTGGCATCACTTTCTGAGCTCGCGTGGCCTAGCCCTTGTATATCTCTAGCCCTGGGGGCACAGCACAACTAACACATTGTTGCTTCTGCAATGTCTGTAGTGACAGCTGTGATTTGATTTTTATTTTGTTTAGTTTTAGTTTATAAGGAAATCTATTAATATAAAATATATAATCTTATTAATACGCTACATGAAACTTAGTGAACAATAAGGCTTTTTTTGTTTTAAGATTTACCGTAACCCCACATATTATATAGGCCTAACTTAGGCCTACCAAAATGTTTGTCTAGGAGTGTAGATTTGCAAACTGACCTTAAATTTTAGATAAAGTCCCTTGAGCTATGCCCCAGTGGCTTTTAAAGTTCCCATGTTATCCTTGTAAAGAACATAGGCCTACTTATTTGTTTACAAATTTAATTGCTGTTAATGTTTTACAGTAATTTAAGAAAACGTGTGCTACAAACATTTACTGACTTGGTTGAAATAATATATTTTGGCAGTCAAAATCTGTTACGTGCCCACAACTCCAAACCTTGTTAATATAAACATTAAAGTGTACAAAACGCCGTTTTTCAATGACAGAGTAGGCCTAGGCCTACTTGGTTTAGTAAAATGGAAACATTTCCAGGTATTTACGACGGCATTGTTGTAGGTCATATCTCATTTGTCTGGGAGAGAAAGGTTCACTGTAGTGTCGCCAGCAGCGGCCCGCGGTAATGAATCACTGTTGACTTTGTGGCAACAATGAGATAACGATTCATTTTAGTTCAGATACTAAAAAAAATTGAAAAATGAATAAAAAATATAAAATTGTAAACTAAGAGAAAGTAAGTTAAGTTATGCCTAACTTACATAACTAAAATTAACTTAAAACTTAAAATCTCTAATTTATTGAACTTATTAAACTACATAAACTGAAAACCAAAGTAAAGAAGGTAGGTAGGCCTAACAAAATCAACTAATTTATTCACTACACTCCAGGTAGTAAATATGAATATAGAAAAACATAGGCCTAACCTAAATTAAAGATTTTTCAAAATAAGTTACTACCAACACATTTAGGCCTACAGAGTCAAAGTCTAAATTTAGTCATTTTAGGAGTGAACTTAATGATTTGAAAGGTCTGGTCAAAATCATACAAAAAGGCAGGGGTACAGTTTCACAGAGAACCTACAAAATTTAGCATAAGTTTTATTATCAGATTAAAATTTCATTCAATAACTTATCACTTAAAGTTAAATAACTTATTGATTAAAAATTGGATTCAATATAAGTTACCTTAGTTGAATCTAGCTGGGCGCACGGCCACGCTATGGCCCGGGGTATAGGAGGCCGAGTGTTTATTGCTCATTTCCAAAAACACCTGACATCCGCGGCTCTGGGATTGCTCAGCTGTCTTCGTGGCTAAGCAGGGCGGAGGGGGTGGGTTAAATATGTATAGGGCCTACAGGACGGTTAGTAGAGAAGGAACCACGCGTCCAGACTGCTTGCGCGTACTTTACAGTGTAATGTATTGATTTTTTTTCATTGTTAGGCCTATAAGACTAACTTACGGTATTCAAGAAGTGGTCCGCCTGCCACTCTTTTACAGGGTCTTGCAGCCTATGGGTTAATGATAGTGACACACAAAATATCATTTACAAAATTTGACCTCTTTGTAAGCTCATAAGTTAAAGAAGGTAACTTACTCATGAAGAAGGTATCCGATACGATTTATAAGTTTAACCTAACTAGGCTCAAGAATCAAGAATCAAAAATCAAGGCTAATATTTACTCCAAGTATAACTTATTGTAACTTAAGTTACCTAGGTTCTCTGCGGAATTAGTACTCAATGCCACTAAACCTACAGTACTGATAGGCTAAGGCGGGTACAGTTTCTTAACTGGGCTATGCTAATATCGATTGAAACTATCGAATTGAAAATATTGATAAATAATTGATATTTTTAAATATATCTAGGCCTATTATAAAATAAAACTTGCATAACCTAAACTAGCCTACTAACCAAACTTACTGATAATGAAAAAATTGCATGAAGTATCGTAATTAGTTTGTCTGTAATTTGTTGAAAAAATTTGTTTACTAATCAAATCAATAGTTTTAATCGATATTAGTATAGCCCAGTTAAGAAACTGTACGTACAGCTGAGACAAAAAAGTTCACAAAACACTAAGTTATAGGTCCAGTCTTAAATAGCTCTCTATTGTGGCCTAGGCAGGCCTAGGCCTATTAAATATAATAATTATCTCTACTTATGCCTAATGATTTTTAATTGCCAATGTTATAGTTAACATAAGTTTAACTTAGGCTTAGAACTACTTACCTCAATGTTTGATGAATGAATAGGTATAACAAGTCGATAGGCCTATCTCGAATAATTTGATTCAGCTAGCCTACTGTATGTTTCTGACTCACACAAGTTAAAACAAAAATATATGATTATAACGATCACCTTCGCTTTATTACTTTTATTTAGGTTTCACAGGACATCACTAATGTAAACTATAACACAGATTTAAAGCCTTGCCCTAAACTATCAATGAGTCTTGACACTTGGCCTGGCCTAGGCTAGGAGCTTGTACGTACATTCACAAAGCTGATCATACTTAACCAATAATAACCATAACAAACATAACTTAACAACACCGAGTTTACGATTTGATTAGACTAGACTTGACACTTTTGGACAGGACAGACCGAACCGACGGACGTTATCACTCGTTGTCAGCTGGAATATTTTCGTGACTGCTGCTAATATTGTGTAGATTTTCAAATAAGACCATGCAACTCAATCGGGTTGCAATTCGCCTGGCATTGATTAAAGTAAGAAGTATACAGTATTGTATTCTAAGTATACAGTATTCTATTCTTCAGTAATGTAGTATAGTTAAGTTAAAATACGCATTTTTATACGACAACTATTCTTCTAAACTCTTAACTTTAAGTAAACACTGACTGTTATTTAGCGAATATCCCATATAGGGAATAAGCTATTGCCGTAGGTCTCATGAAGTTCTGGTCCGGGACCGATTTACTTTTTTTGTTTTGAGGTCCCCAGAAGAAGAAAAAACACCATACCGGTATATATATATATATATATTATACAAACGGATATATATACGTATATATCCGGATAATAAATATATACATATTATGGACTATGGAAACAGGTTTATGGGAGGTTTTATGGGGTAAAAATTGGGGTTTTCTCATCTTTCACCCTCAAAACATAACATTTTGCTATTTATTTCCAAACCATTTTGTAGACCTAAAAAACAAATAATTTAGCATAATGAAGCATTGTTTTATAACCTCTGTTGTCAGTTCTAAATTGTAATTTTCGTAGATGCTACATGTTTCGGCGAGCTGCCTTTGACAGTCTGTTCCCGGTCGTGTAACGGCAATGTTTCGTACCCATGATAGGCCTATCCAACCAAAAGTATTATTTATTTATAACTAGCTGTGTGCCCGTTCTACGCACGGGGATCTTATAGTAGTCAGTTGAAACCTTCTTATATTAAGAACAGCAGTTGGTTTTCATATTTTCAGATATGCTGGCAAAACTATATATAAAAACCTTCGCAAATACATTATCTGACAGTTAAAATGCTTTGTAGATCTATGAGGCATAGCCCCAAGGTAGGCCTGTAATTGCAAATTGCAAGTTACTTTCCACAATGGTTACAAGTATTTAAAGTACTACCTCAACCTCACCATTTAACACTATTCGGGTTGACATTTTCATTATATCAAAGGTGCTCTTGTCCTTTCCGTGAAATGACGGCTTATTTATTGGAAAAACGCGTTTAACATCATCCGTAAACCCAGGGGTGCCCATCCCCCCCTAGACTCATGACGCACCCCCCCCCCCCCAATTGAGCAACAGCCCCCCCCCCCAATAAATGAGGTACACAACAAATGAGAAACATTATTCCCCGCCAAGCACTATTTGTAAAACTAAAATAAGTTTTATACATTTTTTTATATTAAAAATTCAAACCTAGTTAATTTATATAAATAGTTTTGTCTATACATTGCTCAGAATTATACATGTTTTGGTTTATTTTTACGTTTTATACATTGAAGAAGTTGAAACATGTCTTATATCAATTTATGTCCGTCTGTCACGGCCCAGAATGCGTTTTACGCAGCCTACTCTAAAGAAAACTAGAGTACCGATTATGATTCTAATGGTTTAATTGCATTCACAGGAGTGTCATCCTTAGCCATTAAAACATGGCCTCACTATTTTGGAAATAAAATAACGGACGATTAAAAACCCAATTTTGTGTCATTTTTCTAGTTTTAGCGAATTTCCCTATAGGGAAGTAGCTATTACCGTAGGTGGCACAGTAAGACCTAGACCCGGGACCGATTTACTTTTTCATTTTGATGTCCCCAGAGGCCAAAAACACTATTCGTTCAAATTTTTATATATGTATATATATATATAGACATATATATATATACGTCCGTGAACGCGATAACTTGAGTAATTTTTGTTCGATTTTGATTAAATTTGGTTTAAAGGTGTAAAGCGGGATAAACTTTGAATGAGTTCGCGAACCAGCACGATCGGACCATGGGAACGGGGCTTTACGGGGGGTTTTATGGGGTAAAAATTGGGTTTTCTCACTTTTGACCCTCAAAACACAAAATTTCCCAATTTCTCTTTAGACCTTTTTAAAGAGCTTAAAAAAACAAATAATTTAGTATATAAAAGTATTTTTGTTCGATTATTAGTAACGGAGAAAATTAAAAAAATTGTAAATTTAAAATTCCCATGTTATTCTTATAGAGAATATTGTCAAATGTTGTAGTTTGCTTGTTTATGAATATATTTTGATCAAACTTGGTAAATTTATTTATTTTGTACTAAGCTATCAATACTTTACTCAAAAACACACTTTATTAGTTTCCTTGTAGCAGCAAACCTAGGTACTCGTTAAACCTAATGTTATTAAAATATATTTAACTGAAAATCAATTCAGACAAATGGAAATTCGCTTAGTCGGCAGGTTTGCTGCGGCGGGGGTATTTTTCTCCATGTTAGTAAACATACGTTAACACACGTCATTTATGAAATATTAATAATCTGTTAAGAGAACACGTCATATATGAAATTACGAACAGCTATTTTGATAACGATTCATTTTTCTAGCTGTCACTGATATGTTTACAAAAATAAACGTTGTTTACGAATTTACGAATAATACTGTTTAGGCCCTAACCATTTCCGATCACGTTTGTAACCATTTCCGATCACGTTTGTAACCATTTCCGATCACGTTTGTAAGCAAATCCAAAACCAAGTGAGATAATTAACCGTGTGGCTTTAGTTTAAATAACGGGTTTGATTTATCACGGGTACTAATATGTAACTGTAAATTAAAAAAATAAATAACTAGCCATCATCCAGGTCGGGAACCGGAGATTCTGTGTATATCAAGTTGTACTTGAATTTTGATTAGGTACCGGGAAAAGACCGTACGTGAATCAGTGTTGTACAGGACTGGAAAACTTATCTTTCTATATAAATATAATTAGAGTATTATAAATCACCTCAATTTAAGGAATTTTTTATTGCCAGAATAGCTATATAGCGTAACCTCTGCTTAACGATTTGTCAGCGTCTTTTTCTTGATATAACGAAACCCTCTCCCTTTCTTTGGAAACATCACAGCTCCTTCGATGAAAATTAAATGGAAACAACGCTTGCGCCAACAATCGTCTGCTCCGTTATACACTTCTGTCTGCTGTGCGCTATGTTACAACAGATTTCAGATACAACAGCTGGGGAATGATGACGATATAATGCTTAGTAAACTGTGATTAGTAACCATGGTAACTTTAGTTAGGCTGTGATTGGGCAATGAGTAGGCCTAAATATGGAGACTTGTTGAATTTGTGTATGAATTGAATAAAAAAACTTATAAAGAACAGAAGAACAAAGAAAAAGAATAACAAGATTGTTCTCGTTACATTCTTTTTTAAGAGTGTTTTTATTATCTCTAAATATAATTTTACACCTTTTTATTACTTATCTATCAACTCCTATGCTGTGATACAGCACCTACCGGTAGGCTATCTGTCTATCATGAGCAGTAGCTTTTATAACACTTTCTAAAGGTTCCTTTAATATTTACGTTATTTATAGCAAGGCAGTGTTTGGCTAGTTATTAGTTGTGTTTGAGCACAGAAAACGTTTGAGTTAGCTATAATTTTAAACGATGCCGTTTGTACAACCGAACCAAGATAAATGATTTGAAATGTAAGTTACAATAATAATCATTGTGCAATATTGAATTTAGTTTATAAAAATGCAAATCGTGACGTTAATGGCTGCTTACCGCGTTTTAATGGGTTTGTCATCTATTAGCGAATTTCCCATATAGGGAATAAGCTATTACCGTAGTACTCATGGTAAGACCTGGACCCGGGACCGATTTTTTTTTTCGTTTTGAGGTCCCTAGAGGCCAAAAATACCATCCGTTCAAATTCATATATATATATATTTATATATATTTATATATATATATATATATATATATATATATATATTTATATATTTATATATATATATATATATGTGTCCGTTAGCGCGATAACTCGAGCAAAAATGATCCGATTTTGATGAAATTTGGTACAAACGTGTAAACCTACGTTTATTCGAACGAGTTCGCGAACCAGCATGATCGGACCATGGGAACAGGGGTTTATGGGGGCTTTTATGGGGTAAAAATGGGTTTTTCCTATTTTTGACCCAAAAAACATAAAATTTTGAAATTTCTTTCCAAACTATTTTGTAGAGCTTAAAAAAACAAATAATTTGGTATATTGTAGCGTTATAATGCGCCTAATGGTTACGGATAAAATTCCAAAAAATTGTTAATTGAAAATTCCCATGTTATTCTTATGGAGAATAAGTAAACCGTTGTAGTGTGCTTGTTTATTAACATATTTTGCCCAAATTTGGAAAATGTTTTTATTTCTTACCAACTATTAACATTTTACATAAAAAAACACTTTTACCCTCCCTGTTGCAGCAAACCTAAGTATATGTTAAACTGATTCTATTTAAATAGGGAATAAATGTGATATTTTTAAGGATACATTTAAGTCTAAATCCAATCAGGCAAATGGAAATTCGCTTAGTCTGCAGGTTTGCTGCGGCGGGGGTATTTTTATATTATATTGGATTAACCGTATTTTTCATTACCCACTACCCCCTCCCTTTTAACTCAGGTAATCGAGTACTGTATCTAAACAATAGTGTAAAGTATTGTGGCCTATGCTACTTGATTGTATTTTAACTAGCTTTATGTCAACAAAGCGTTCTGGGCTAAGTCGCGGTGTAGCTGGACGTGGGTGTGCCAATCTTTTATCTATCACAGCAGTTGAGCCATTCCGTGCCTTCCCTCATAGATCTCACGTCTTACTAATCTTGAATAATAACTTCCTACACGAATCCTAAACTATCAGTAAATCCTATTTTTACTAATTGAATGAAATAATATAACTATTGACATTAATTAATCGACTTTCTATCTGGCGACTTCGTAATGTATTTTTTATTTCCGTCACGTTGAACACTGTTGCAATTAACTATAGCCCCCCCATTTTAATTTTTTGAACCCCCCCCCCCAAGAATTTCAATGACGCAGACTGCGTCACAGCCCCCCCCTTGTGGGCACCCCTGGTAAACCTCTGTTACAATCACACCCACTGCAGTTGTGATTTTTTACTTTACACTTTACACAACCGCCAATAAAGCGCCGTCAATGAGTGGAAACATTGTTTCTAAGCTATTGGCGACGATCATTAATAAATTTAAGTTTCCCAGCCGTATAAAACACTGATTCAAGGTCTTCTGGTTATCAAAACTCAAGAACAATTTTTTTATACACAAATAATCTCTGGTTCCTGACCTGGATGATGCCTAGTTATTTAATTTCATTAACGGTTACACTATATTATTGCATTTGCGATTAATTAAATCCGTTATGTAAGAAAAACGTTTTTTAATCTCACTTAGTTGGGATTTGCTTTCTAAACGTGATCGAAAATGGTTGCGGTATTTGTAAACAACATTTGTAAATATATCAGTGTACAGCTAGAAAAAATAATCTTGATCCAAACAGCTGTTCGTTATTTCATAGACGATTGTGTGATAAAAATTGGACGAAAACTTGACAAAAATCGCACAAAACTGCATTTTTTGAACGTTCGTAATTTTATTTACAAAGTAGTGAGGACATATTTTAATAGCTAAAGACACTCTCACCAATCCAGTGAATACATTAAAATGACCTGGATCTTGATAAGTCCTCTCGTTTTCCTGGAGAAGATGAATAAGTCCAAATGTATTAAACCCCAATCGCAGCACACCTGTGCACTTAACAACGTTTAAATTCTCCAATGTTAAATATTAAAACATAAAAACCTTTATAAAAGTACTGTATTATAAACAATAAAAGGGATGACTTTTTTAAATGTATGACAACAGCTAATTTGTTAACCAAAAGGGGAGTGAGCATAGCGAACGAACATCAACCTGGAGGCGAGTAGGCGTAGCGAACGAGCTAACCTGAAAACAAGTGAGCACAGCGAACGAGCTCCAACCTAAAGGTGAGTTAGCGTAGCAAACGAGTGATTGAGCGATGCGAACGAGATCATCTTGAAAATTAAACGTAACGGTACTTTCTTTCCATCGGTCTGTCTTAGGGGAAACCTATAACTTAGGCGATACGAAGTTCGCCGGGTCAGCTAGTAACATAATAATATATTTGTAGATTATATATAATCTATTATAATTGGCAAATAAATAATTTGCATCTTTTTGTTTTTCATTGTGTTTATAAATTTATACATGCATTTTTTGTATGATAATTGCTATTGTGAAAGCGTTAAAATTAAGTAAATAATAATACATACTCTGAATGGTGTCACTCTATCATGCACATAAAGAAAAAATTATAGAGTTAAGAGGCAGTATACATGTTCGACAGCTACATGTGGGTCAAACGAAAAAAGTGTTAATGGAGTTTATTTTTTTATTGCAATATTTGACAATGAATGTGATCATAGAAATCTCGAATGATTAGCTAGAAAAGGCTGCTAGTGACTGGCGACCTTTTAAGAAACGAATTACGGTTGTATATGACGTTCTGAAAATAATTATTTGATTTACTTATGTCATAAATTACATAATATTTGTCATAGTATTTAAATTAATTTTTGTAGTTTACTGTATTTGTATTCGTGGAGACTACTCACTATTCACTACAGCACTATTCAACTCAACTACTTGATGCCAAAACAGATTAACAGAATCATATTATACTGTAGTATCAAAAATATTTAAAGTATTGCAACCATTGCAACTGTCGGCTACTCTTCCACAATTTGAAAACTAAGACTAACAACAGTCGCAGATAGCTCAGAGGTAAGGTATGAGGCTCATAAGTCGGAGGACCTAAGTTCGAGACCCATCCAGGTCACAAAAATGTTATCTAGTTTTTTTTTTCAAAATTTGTTTTTATGAACTATTTAATCAATTTACTCAACTGATAATTGTGCTTTTCATACTAAATCTTTATTATTTTGTGTTTTTATGTTTAGGCCCCATGGGATGTTTGAAAGTGATATTAAATACATTTTTTATTTAAATATTATTCACTAAAATATATTATTGGAACATATTTTTTAAATATTTAATAGATTCAAAAACATATTTTTTATATATTTAATATATTTTAAATATTATATAAAATTGACATTAATACACACTTGATATATATAAAATAGATTTTAAATATATTTATTCATATGTATTTAATATAAGTTTGTGCTACTAGGGTGTGATAATATTTTTATACATATGAACTGTTATTATTCCTTACTGTATTTATGAATTTATTTATCGTCTCACAGTTGTTCTTTGTTTACTATTTACATTTTGTATTTGTATGTTGACTTCAGAGTTTATTAAAACCTATCATTAGGTCTATTCATAATGAGTTTTATTTGCACTTCAATTTAATAAACTCTTTTCACAAGTCATGGACAAACTCCTCAAGCCTGACCGATTTGATGTAGAGCCAGAATGTGATGGTGCAGAAGAACAATGGCTGCATTGGTACCAGACTTTTACCAACTTCCTTGAGGAATGTGACTCTAATGCAACAAATGAAAAGGTAAAACTACGTTTACTTGTTAATCACATTAGTCCATCTGTCTACAAATACATCTCTGGAGCTACAAAATTTGATGAAGCTATAGCTATTTTAAAAGAACTCTATATCCGTCCTAAGAATGAGATTTATTCCAGACATCTTCTAGCAACTCGTTTTCAGAAGTCAGGGGAATCAGTTGACCAATATTTACAAGCTTTGAAAGATTTAAGTAAACCTTGTAATTTTTCCCAAGTTTCTGCAGAACAAAATAAAAATGACTATATTCGTGATGCATTTATCAGAGGTTTGATTTCCCCAGTTATCCGACAAAGACTTCTAGAAAATAAAACATTAACTTTGAATGAGGCTTTTGAGAAAGCTAGAGTTTTGGAATTAGCTCAGTATCAATCAGAATATTATAACAAGCAACATTCTCAATTAAATTGCATACAACATTCTACTACTTCAGAACCAGAATCTGTCAAAAGTAACATGTCCTCAAATAATGCAGAGGAAACTTGTTTATCAGCCACTTCCTGGAAATGTTATTTCTGTGGTTCCAGTAAAAAACATACTAGAAGTGAATGTCCTGCTGCAAATCATATTTGTCATTCTTGTGGCAAGAAAGGACATTTCATGAAGGTTTGTAAGTCAGGAAGTAATTCATTACCTCCTACAAAACTTGACTCTAAAAAAACTTTCAGCAAAAATCCAGCTACATGTGCAGCTGCACCTAAATCTTTATCTAAATCTACTATTACAATTGAAGTAAATGGGATTAAAACTGATGCCTTAGTTGATACTGGTAGTTCGGAAACATTTATTAGTAAATCTCTAGTAGAAAAGAGGGGAATAACAATATTTCCAACCACCGTTAGTGTTACTATGGCTTCTACTTCTTATCAACCAGTTACAGCTGGCTACAGTCTTGTTGATTTGTCGATTCAAGGTCATATTTACAACAAAACTAAACTCCTTGTTTTAGACGGCTTATGCGCTGATGTTGTCTTAGGACATGACATTTTCAAGGAACACTCAAGCGTTGAAGTCTCATTTGGGGGTAAGAAACCTACGCTGAAGGTGTGCGGACTTACAGCAGCTAAGGTTGCACCCGTCCACTTGTTTTCAAACTTAACTCTTGACTGTAGACCTATTGCAGTTAAGTCACGACGTTATTCAGAAGAAGATTCGAAATTCATAAAAGAAGAAACTGAACGCTTGTTGAAAGAGGGTATCATTGAACCAAGCACTTCACCTTGGAGAGCACAAGTACTTGTAGTTAAAGGTGAAACAAAAAAGAAGCGAATGTGCATTGATTATTCCCAAACAATAAATCGATTCACTCAACTTGACGCCTACCCACTTCCCAGAGTTGAAGATGTCGTTAACAAAGTTTCAAAGTTCAGTGTTTTTAGCACTATTGACCTTAAGAGTGCTTACCATCAAATACAAATTGAAAATGAAGAACGAATATATACAGCATTTGAAGCCTGTGGGCGCCTTTACCAATTTTGCAGAATTCCTTTTGGTGTTACGAATGGCGTCTCCTGTTTCCAAAGAGAAATTGATTCAATCATACAAAAAGAAGGACTTGAATGCACTGTAGCTTACCTGGACGATGTAACAGTTGGAGGGAGGAATAAAGATGAACATGATACAAATTTGAACAAGTTTTTTGATGTAGCCAAGAAGTACAACTTAACTCTGAACATGGAAAAATGCTCTTTTGCACAAGACAAAATCCATCTGTTAGGATATGTAATAACAAAGAACGAAATCCGTCCTGATCCAGACCGTCTTCAGCCGCTCTTGAAACTACCACTTCCTCATGATGGCCAATCATTGCGTCGAACCATGGGCATGTTCGCTCATTATTCAGACTTTATCAAGAGTTTTTCAGAGAAGATTCAGCCCCTTTCATCGACTAAAAGTTTTCCATTATCAGAAGAAGCAATTAACTCCTTCAATGAATTGAAAAATGAAATAGTAACTGCAACTAAAGCCCCAATCCAAAATGACATACCATTTACAGTTGAGACCGATGCATCTGAGTTTGCAATCGGCTCAACCTTGTCACAAGCAGGACGTCCAGTAGCTTTTTATTCGAAAACATTATCAAAATCTGAAAAGAACCATTCTTCTGTTGAAAAAGAAGCTCAAGCAATCGTAGAATCTCTTAAGAAGTGGAGACACTATCTTATTGGCCGGCCATTCCTACTCATTACAGACCAAAGATCAGTTTCTTTCATGTTTGACAATAAAAGATTTGGAAAAATAAAGAATGAAAAGATACAACGTTGGCGTTTAGAACTGTCTTGTTTCAAGTATGATATCGTATATCGACCAGGCAAGGAAAATGGAGTTGCAGACACCATGTCACGATTGTGTGGAACGATTTGTGGTCGTCCAAACTTAAATGATATCCACACGAGCCTGTGTCACCCGGGAGTGACAAGATTTTACCACTGGATTAGATCGAAAAACTTACCTTTTTCACTGGAAGAAGTTCGTCGTACTACAGCTCAATGTCGAATTTGTGCTGAACTTAAGCCTAGGTTTTGTAAATATGAAGGTACGTTAATCAAAGCTACAGCACCTTTTGAGCGACTAAACTTAGACTTTAAAGGACCAATTCCAAGTGCTACGCAAAATAAATACATATTAACTGTTGTAGACGAGTATTCACGATATCCATTTGCTTTCCCCTGTAGAGACATGACTTCCAGTACCGTGATTGAGAAACTGAAAGAAATGTTTACAATTTTTGGTATGCCTTCATTCATTCATTCAGACCGAGGAACGTCATTAATGTCAGACGAATTAAAGTCTTTCTTACAAACTCATGGTGTTGCGTCAAGCCACTCTTCTGCTTATAATCCTAGAGGGAATAGCCAAGTAGAGAGATTCAATGGCACTATATGGAAGACTGTTATGCTTGCCCTCAGAACCCAAGACCTACCCGTAAAGTATTGGGAATCAGTTCTTCCTGAAGCACTTCACTCAATAAGATCATTATTATGTACATCAACCAATACAACACCTCATGAACTTATGTTTAAGCACCCCAGAAGATCGTATTATGGAGGTTCAGTTCCAAGCTGGCTGTCACAACCCGGCCCAGTGCTGTTGAGAAAGCACAACAGACCCAGCAAGTATGACTCACTTGTAGAAGAGGTAGAACTTATTCAAGCAAATCCAGGTTATGCTCATGTGAAACTCCCAAATGGACAAGAGAAGACAGTATCCATAAGAGATCTGGCCCCAGCACCTGGACAATCATCTTTAGAAACAGACTACCAATTGCCAGAAACATGTGGAAATGAACAAGTTATTCAAGAACCGGAGGTTTCATTTGATCAAGAACAAGTTGAAAATGATTCTAGTGGGACATTAAGTGACACGAATGTACCAGTTGAACATGCAAACAGTTCTTGCAAAGACTCAAGTTCAGTGCCTTCCAAAACGCATCCACAGCGTATACGGCAAAGACCTTACTATCTAAAAGACTACGTCTCGTTTTAGGGTGGGAAGAATGTGATAATATTTTTATACATATGAACTGTTATTATTCCTTACTGTATTTATGAATTTATTTATCGTCTCACAGTTGTTCTTTGTTTACTATTTACATTTTGTATTTGTATGTTGACTTCAGAGTTTATTAAAACCTATCATTAGGTCTATTCATAATGAGTTTTTGTACATAGCGTAAAATGCCAACATATAAGGATTACCAACAGGGTGCAGCACTATTATTTCTTTTACATTTATGACAACAGCTAATTTGCAACCAAAAGGTGAGTGAGCGTAGCGAACGAACTTCAACCTGGAGGCGAGTTAGCGTAGCGAACGAGCTAACCCGAAGGCAAGTGAGCGCAGCGAACGAGCTCCAACCTAAAGGTGAGTGAGCGTAGCGAACGAGCTCCAACCCAAAGGTGAGTGAGCGTAGCGAACGAACTTCAACCTGGAGGCGAGTTAGCGTAGCGAACGAGCTAACCCGAAGGCAAGTGAGCGCAGCGAACGAGCTCCAACCTAAAGGTGAGTGAGCGTAGCGAACGAGCTCCAACCCAAAGGTGAGTGAGCGTAGCGAACGAACTTCAACCTGGAGGCGAGTTAGCGTAGCGAACGAGCTAACCCGAAGGCAAGTGAGCGCAGCGAACGAGCTCCAACCTAAAGGTGAGTGAGCGTAGCGAACGAGCTCCAACCCGAAGGTGAGTGAGCGTAGCGAACGAACTTCAACCAGGACGTGATTGAGCGATGCGAACGAGATCATCTTGAAAATTAAACGTAACGGTACTTTCTTTCCATCGGTCTGTCTTAGGGGAAACCTATAACTTAGGCGATACGAAGTTCGCCGGGTCAGCTATATAATATATAGCTCATATATATATATATATATATATGAATTTTTTTTTTATATACATATTTTTTATATATTTAATATATTTTAAATATTATATAAAATTGACATTAATACACACTTGATATATATAAAATAGATTTTAAATATATTTATTCATATGTATTTAATATAAGTTTGTGCTACTAGGGATAGCGTAAAATGCCAGTGTGAGTGTTGCAGACAGACAGAAAGACAGACAGACAGACAGAAATAGAGAAAAGACTCGATTCTGCTTCTTTAATGTATAAAACGTAAAAATAACCAAAAAATATATAATTCTGAACAATGTACAGACAAAACTCTAATTTTGTTTACATAGATTTATGTGTCGTGTGTCATGTGTGTAAACCAACCCAGACAGGACACTTTCTCCTCAGGACATTCCACGGATATTGCGACAGGATATGCAAGATATCCCATAGTGGTCCTATGGTCAACCTGGGATATCCCCGGATATCCGCAGGAATGCGTAATGTTCCCGCCTGGGGATGTCCCACGGATAAGCTCACAGCATATCCTGAGGTCATCCCAGGGTAGTCCTCATCAGGACATATGGACATATTAGTATTCGAAAAGCTTAATTATAAGTTGAGTAAATTGATTAAACTAGTGGCTTGTAGAGACATAAGTCTCGAAAAAGCTCAAAATGTAAAACAAATTATTCTAAGTACCTAGGGACCGAGCTTTGCTCGGGGAAAATCATATAATCTGAAAGGAGTCTTAGTATTGCGGCTACATAAATCCATTCCCAAACTCCACACTGCTCGCCTTTACTACTTCCTTCACCACTCCCTACGTCGTGGACCTGTTTCCCTCCATTCCCATTGCATGTTAGGATTGCAGATACATCAATGTAATTGCTTCAGACATTTCCCACACTCCTGCACTGCTAGCCTTACTACGTCCTACACCATTGCCTACCTCATGGACCTGTTTCCCTCCCTTCCCATAGCACTTTAGGATTGTAGATACCTTAATCTAATCGTTATTAACAGTTCCCACACTCCGGACAGCTCGCCTTGACTACTTCCTTCACCACTTCCTACGTAGTGGACCTGTTTTCCTCCCTTCCCATAGCATTTAAGGATTGTAGACACCTTAATCCAATCGTCATAAACAGTTCCCACACTCCAAACTACTCGCCTTTACTACTTCCTTCACCACTTCCTACGTCGCAAACCTGTTTTCCTCCCTTCCCATTGCATTTAAAGATAGCGGCTACCTTAATCTAATCGTCATAAACAGTTCCCACACTCTGGACAGCTCGCCTTTACTTCCTTCACCACTTTCTACATCACGGACCTGTTTCCCTCCCTTCCCATAGCATTTATAAGGATTCCAAATACCTTAGTCTAATCGTCATAAACAGTTCCCACACTCCGGACTATTCACCTTGACTACTTCCTTCACCACTTCCTACGTCGCGGACCTGTTTTCCTCCTGTCCTATCCTGTTCTCACACTCCAGACATCTCGCCTTGACTACTTCCTTCACCACTTCCTACGTCACGGACCTGTTACCCTCCCTTCCTATAGCATTTTAGGATTGTCCATGCCCTTATCTAATCGTCATAAACAGTTCCCACACTCCGGACTACCCACCTTGACTACTTCCTTCACCACTTCCTACGTCGCGGACCTGTCTCCCTCCCTTCCTATAGCATTTTAGGATTGCAGATACCTTAATCTAATCGTCATAAACAGATCTCACACTTTGCACTGCTAGCCTTTACTAGGCCTACAATCATGTATTGAGTAATCTTCAGTATAATCTTTGATCAATAGTAACGGGGATAGCACAACTCCGCGCGGTGGTCAAATTTAGGCCGAGGAAAAATTTTATGGCTCCCGAAGGGTTCAGTCCAACTCCGCGCGGTGGTCACTTTTAGTGTAAAGTCTAACTCCATGCTGTGGCCACATCTAATCTCTACGCTACCTGGTTGTATGAGATATGATGTGTTTAATATAAAATATTCTATATATGTTACACTTTTATTTGTTCATATAGCTACTTTATTCATGTGACAAGTTAGGTTAGGTTAGGTTAGGTTAATGATAGGTAAATTCAAATGAAACATAAGTACAGAAGATTTGTACCAATTAACTTTATTTTATTAGTTACTGTGGTTACGTACAGTTATAAATTACTAGCTGTAACCCGCGGACTTTGCCCCGTTTAACCTCTTAATTTTCAAGATTATCTCGTTTGCATGGCTCAATCACGTCCTGGTTGAAGTTTGTTCGCTACGTTCACTCACCTTTAGGTTGGAGCTCGTTCGCTGCGCTCACTTGCCTTCAGGTTAGCTCGTTCGCTACGCTCACTCGCCTCCAGGTTGAAGTTCGTTCGCTACGCTCACTCACCTTTTGGTTGCAAATTAGCTGTTGTCATAAATGTAAAAGAAATCTTTTTTTTTTTTTAGGGAGAGGAGGGAAAATGCTTTTACGCACACAGGTAGCCAGCCTGTTAGTGTGAGACTCCTGAAAATTGTCAGACTACTCACTAAAAAACCCCCTCTACTCTGTTGGACACAGACCTGGAATTGTTTGTCACATTACTTCAAGTCAGGCCAACATGTGACCTAAGCCCTCAGGGCTCGCACCGTTTCTGGCGTTTCGATTCTTAATGACCTACAACCGCATCCCGGTCAAGGTCGATCTTCTTGGCGCGGAGAATACCCTGGATATAATGTGACACACAGGTCCAATTGTCCTCACCCTCCGTCATAATCGGTATGACCGTGTCCACCGACAGCAGTCCTATTAATTGTTGAGCCTCCAGGCGGGGCCTTTCCCAGCGCTGGCAGTGGAAAAATGTATGTTCCACGTCATCGAGAATGCCTGGGCAGTATATGCAGTCGGATGACACGGCTTTGCCCATCCTGAACAGGTACGACCGGAAAAAGCCGTGTCCCGTCAGAAATTGGGTGAGGTAGAAGTCCACCTCTCCGTACCGCCGATCAACCCAAGGTTGGACTCGCTGTATCAGTCGCCTGGTCCAGAGTCCCCGTGTCTCCTGTTCCCAGCCCTCCTGCCACAGCTGGTAGGTGCGGGTGCGTTCCTCTGTTCGTGCCTCGTCCTCCCCACGGCGCCGGTAAATTGCCTTTCTCTCCGCCGCCAAAAGTTTGACGGGGATGACTCCAGCAATCACCAGGACGGCGGGCTCGGACACTGTTCGGTAGGCAGATGCTACCCTCAGTGCTGCCTGACGCTGCACTCGGGCGAGCCGCATCCTGTATGCCTCCTTATTTAGTGCGTCTGCCCACACCTCCGCACCGTACAAGAGTACGGACTGGACCGAAGACATTAACAGCCTTCTACGACTGGACCGAGGCCCTCCGACATTGGCCATCAACCGGCTAAGAGAAGAAACCACCCTAGCGGCCTTGTCCGCTGTACGGAAGATCTGATCCCGCCAGCTAAGCTTGCTGTCTACCATGACCCCAAGATACTTGGCAGAACGAACAGTTTGAACCTCGACGGCTCCCACCCTCAACGGCACGATGGTGTCAATCCGTTTTTTTTGTCAAAATCACGATCTCGGTTTTGCTCAGAGCAAGCGAGAGACCGTGGTCTGCCATCCATGCGTTTATGGTACGCATAACTCGGTTTAGCTTTAGCTGAGCCAGCTCAACGCTACGTGCAGCTATCAAAGCTGCAACGTCGTCTGCGTACCCAACCAAGACTGTTTCCTCAGGCATTTCAGACCTCAGAAGGCTGTCATAAGCGACGTTCCAGAGGTCTGGGCCGAGTATGGAACCTTGGGCAGCACCAGAAGTGACACTCATCGTCCGCAGGCCCTCCGCAGTGTCATACGTTAGGAGGCGAAACCGGAGATAATCCTCTATGATGCGCATGAGGTATGCCGGCACGTGGAAGGTGTTCTCCAGAGCATCCAGCATATCGCACCACCTCGCCGAATTAAATGCATTTCGCACATCGAGCGTTACGAGCAGCACAACTCTGCGAGAGTAGTGGGTAAAATCCTCAGCTCTCATCACGGCTTGCTTCACCTCCTCAATCGCATCAATCGTTGATCGCCCCATCCTGAATCCATACTGACGAGGGGAGAGGTCCCCCGCAGCGACAACGGCTGAATTTAGCCGGGAACGGATCAATTTCTC